CAAAGAAGGAGATGAGAAGGAAGACACTTATCAAATTGATCAAAATATATATCAACCACAAAGTTGAATGATTACCTAATGTTAGCTATAGATCGAGAAAAAATGAAGGAAATCATTCAATACTTGTTTCTTTCTCATCATATCCGACGAAAATATTAAATTATTCCCCCATATTCCTTTCTATATGACCAGTAAAACTCACTAGCAAAAAGGGTATTGGTAATGTAATTGAATAGAACAGCAACATGTTACACATTTCGCTGCACGGAGATGTAAGGTGCTGTTGGTAATGATTACCCCGAGTTTCCACTCAACGAAATTTCAAAATACACAAAAAAATAGAGATCAAGTAAAAGTTATGTGTGTTACGAGGATTTTAGTATGAAGTCCAACCTAAGAGCGAATAGTTCTTTTGTTTTCATGGGTACCGTCATGTGTCTTAATTTTGATCACTCAGGAATATGACATCTTTTTCACTCAATTGGGCAAACGAAGAAAGGAATATCATTGAGGTCATACGATTTCATGTCTACAGCTCAACTCATCCAATTACTACATGAAAGAATACGTACTTGATTGCAAGAGCTTTGTGGTAGTCGATCTCTCACTTTATCTCGAAGGACCTAACTCAAGGATTGATAAGCTCGAATGACCCTAGAATTCAAATTTTGGGGTCAACTCAATAGCTTCTATGAGGAAAGAAATGCAAAGGAGGCTAGTGGGTTTGTTAAGGAAGGCAACAAGGGCTAACGAAGGGGAAAATAACTATAAAATCGTAGCCAAGTAGATGGCTGATGTCTAAGATAGGAATTCACTTTCAAGGGAAGGACATCTGAAAAATGGAAGGAGCTTCATATGTGAAGTAGCTTCGAGAGGGCTCGGTCTATATAAATTGATTGAGAATATCTGTCAAAATATGTCAAAAGTGATTTGAAGACCTCTTGCTTCTATTTTTATCTTCAAATGAAATAATTGTAACTAGCCTTTTGTGTTGCTTCCTATCCTCATGTCAAATTGCATAAAATACTAGTTTTCCATGTCAGCCTTTCTTTGGGGATTAGAGAAGCTGACATTAAAATAACCATAAAATACTAGTTTTCCATGTCAATCGTTTTTGGCTTTTTTTGCATTGATGATACAAAGTCCTCCAGATTTTCGTACTTTTAGAGAACTTTCAGCTATTAAAGAGACTAAAAACTACGTGATGTAAAAGAAGAAAAGGTCCTATCCTTGATGCATAAGGAATACTAGCTAGAAATTATTCTCAGAGCAGAGGGACAGTAATTCTAGATAGAAAATTTTTCCCAAGGTTCAACCTGAAAATAGATTTGATCTGTATCCTTAATCTTACTAAAGTTGGTACCTTTTTTCCATTGCACAAGCCTACACTATAAGAAAGAACCCATTGTAGGTTCTTTGTAGTTCTACTATAGTTTATGTTGGGAATTTACTTAACA